TTCTTTCTTTCTTTCTTTCTTTCTTTCTTTTTTTTTTTTGTTCACCTGCTCAGCAGATATCCTTTCAGGCGTTGCCAGATACAGCCCACCCACCTTCTCTTCTGTAGCTGAACGTGAAAAGACTATGTATTCTTTCTGTGACTCTGAAAATGCACTATTGAGAGTTAGCATGTCCAGTGGTTTCACTGAGGACTTTGCAAGTTAAGAGTTCTTTAAGACTTCTATTTTGATGAATGTTATCTGTTTCCTTAGTGGAGGCTGGCTAATAATGTGTCTGAGAAATCATCATAACAATTCCTTTTAGATTTATCAAATTAAATTTGAGCATCAGGGGTTCAGATCGAAGATGGCTGGCAAGTTTACAGGTGGTACTTCACCATGTAGTTAGTAGATTTCTTCTCTACTCATGTTCTTACTCAGCTGCTAAGGGCTGTGCTTACCCTATCCTTACCCAGCTGCTAAGAAAGAATAGAGACCAAGGACCAAGTGTAAAGAGAGTTGACTTGAACATTACTGGCAGAACATTCATAAAGTTTTGGTAGGAATTGAGACATTTATTTGGCTGACTTTTCTCATCTGTTAATTAATGTCTCATTACATCTTTCTGCAGAATGACTTAATGAGGGCAACTCCCTAGTTTTGGGTTGGTGGCTTTGGTTATGATGTGTGCTTGTTTAGCATTTATTTTTAAATATGACAACCATTTCAGGATTTGGATCCTGGAAAGAATAATTTTGGATATTGGGTCATTTTCTAGAAATCTAAAATTGGAAGGAGTGACTTTAAAGGGTACTTTTTATACTTACATTTGAGAAAATAAGATGATTGAAGCCCAGAAAAACTTGATTCTTCTGAAGTGTGTATTGAATAAACAGACTGGATTATCATTGCAGCACTCATTCAAATCAGTACTGCACTCAGGATGAGTGTTGTGTTGTTGCTCTTCTAGGATTCGCTTTCCCCCAGGCGACCGATATTCTATCTCTCTTGAGGAGAGAGTTATATGTGGCTGTAGTCAAATTTGGGTACAATACTGAACAGGTGCTTGGCTGTTTTTTGGTGGTTGGCGAACAGATTCCTAAGCTTCAGTTATTTATGTATTATACTACTCCCTCAAAAATTCCACCCAATCTTTATACACCCAGTACTTTTTATTCTTTTAATAACTGTAGAGAAAGTTTATTGTGCTTTCTTGGCAGTTTTGACTTTTGCAGTTTGCTGAAGTATGCATATGATTATATAAAACATCACATCCCATACACACACACACACACACACACACACACACACACACACATTTGTTGTTACATACAAACACAAGATATATAATTACACAGATTCAAAAGAGATCACCAATATTTATACTTTGAAAAGTTGACTTGTGTACCCAAATCTATACTGCTATGTATCAGGGAGTGTAGTGATCTGTTTGAGAAAGGTCTCACTCATCTACCCAAGCTGATCTTGAAGAGGATCTTCTTGCTTCAGTCTCCAGAGTGCTGAGGTCATAAGCCTGCCACATATTCAGCTGGGAAGCACTGATTTAATGGAGGAAGTGCAGGCTTCCAGTTTGACAGTCATGAGTTTGAATTATGGCTGAGCATCTTTGTAATTGGTGACATTGCATCACTTCTCCCTTGTCAACTAGTTTAATTGTTCTCTTCAGGAAAAAAAAGAGGTAAAACTTTGTGAAAAATTTGCATGAGAAAAGCCCTAGTTCTAACAAGCCATCTTATCACTGTATATGTAGTTTTTATTGTTACGAAGTGTTAATAGTGTTCTGCAAATAGAATTTCAGTGAGGAACTCTGTGGAGACATAATGAAAAGATCTGCTACCCTGCTTCATCAATCGATTGAGTCCATTCAAGAGCTTGCAGTACTTTGGCCTTCCTTTAGACTTTATTAAATGTGGCGGTTGAATACTTTGTCATGTGCACACAGACTGTCCTCCAAACTTTAAAATGGGGGGGGGAGGTCAGAAAAATGGGAGTCTCTTGATTCTTCCTGCTTTCCAGCTCATCTCCATATCAATATTCTGCATTTACCAGTGTATCTTGCCTGATTTGCTTCTAGAATAGTTTGGATTTCAGATTCATCTGATGCTTCTCAGTTTGAACTTGCTCTTTTTCTTTCTTTCTTTCTTTTTTTTTTTCTGGCTTTAGGCTGACTTTTCTCCTCCCTGGAACTCTTGCATGGGTTGGTCTGCCTGGACACCTGCCTGCTTTGCCTTCTCCGTCCCCAGCATTACATCCAGTTCTCACATAGCTGTGGTCCAGAAGGTGGGCTCTAGAGCCGTTCTGTTTGCCTGAATCTTGGCTGTTTTGTTCATAGACCCCCCTTTTTTTTTCTCCCTGCATGCCGATTTTTTCCCCCTTGTAGGCTATAGATGAGACTACTGCTTTCCTGCAAGGTGGTTGGATGCTTACATGGATGATGCATGTAGAAAACTTACACTAGAGTTGGGCATAGATTCAACATACAAATATTTCCTGTCAGGGATTACTGTCAGGCTTGTGTCTTTATCATCATGTTGACCTCAGCCCAATGACCATCTCAGAACTTTCCGACATGTGTATCAAATGTATAAAATAATTATTTGTTCGTATCTGTCCATTCCCTAACAGTGGGATGGTTTCTTGAGGACAGGAAAGATATCTACATTTGCTATCAATGAGGTTCCTGGGATTCTGAGGATACAAATATTTCTTGTATATTAATGAATAAGATGAGTGAGTAAAAAAAGTGAACATGGTATTAGAGGTGTTGGGAAAGTCTAGATAAATGCTCAGAGTATCCTTGTTATCTGTTGTGAAAGCTGAGAGCTGTGGAAGCGAAATGGAATCCTAGAAGGAAGAAGTTGTTTTACCTTGGCCATGTGGCCTGGACTGTTGAATAGTAAATGTGTTCAGGAAATCAAATTAGTAAGAAAAATGGATTGGGGCAGTGGTGAGGTTTCTGGGCATAGGAGCCACCAGCAGGGCCCAGGGGAAAGATTGTATGGTATGCAGGGCAGGGCTGCTCAGGAGCAGGGCAATGCAGCTTTGCAAAGTTGGTGTGGCGAGTTCACATCTCCTTCCTGCTTCTGAGCAGAGTTGACTCTGTTGAAAGGTTAAGACGGAATCCTGTCTAGGACTGTAGCCTACAGTGGCCCAGTGACGATTGATTGCTCATCGACAGTTGATTGCTCATCATGTATGAGGCTCAGAGTTCAGATACCCAGTACTACAACAGAAAAAAGAAACAAAAGTGGAGTGGGTGGGGGCAACCTGGGTTGTTGGTTCTCAGATTCAGAGGTCTAAGTAGTGACCCCAGAATTTGCATCTCTAACCAGACAGAATGTAATCTGACACTGCTTTCTGGTCCAGAGGCTGCTTTGAGAGCTGGTCTAGACAGAAGGCATCCCACTTTACAGGGCCTGCTTCCTAGGGAACTTCACTTGCTTCTCTAGAGGACTTCTTATGGGCTGAAGCTGATGTTTGGGCTGTCAGCCCGCTCACCACTGTTTGCTGGGACTTTCTGCAGATGTTGCATCCTCTTTCAGTCATATCTGAGAGTATGTCAGGAAAGCCCAGTCTCTCTCCACTGACTTTCTCTTACACTTGGAATACTATGTAAGCCCTATAGGACCTCAGCATTCTGGCCCTTGCTCACCTCCACTATGGCTACCACACAGCTTGCCTGAGTTGTGACTCCACCACTTACCCCTTCTTTGATTCAGAGTGAAATGGAGTTTATATTTGAACAAGTGGCTGTATGCAGAGCATAGGGACATGCTACATGGTCATGTCACACATACTACACTCAATACAGGTCAGCTGTAAGTAGCTGATGTCTTGGTAAAGGATCCAAGGGCCTTCTGTTGTCCTGATGACAGTATCCCTTGGAAATCTGGTTTTTTTCACACCTTCCAGCTGTGTACCTTTCTAGCTTCTGGCTGTGTATTAGGCAACTGCTACTTTCTCCCCCTCTAATAGGCCTGGATCTTAATGTTTAGGTTCCAGTCCCTTGCTGTAGTGGTGTTTACTGTTCTTGGTTTTTTTTTTTTTTTTTTTTTTTTTTTTTTTTTTTAGTTAAAAGATTGTCCCATGTTGGGGATCCTTCTTGCAGCCCATCTTCAGCTTTTCTTGTGTCATTGTGCTTCTATATTGCTCATCAGTATCTGAAACTTAACTTCTGGACATGTTGCTTCTACTCCCCACAGCCTGCTCTCCTCACTGTAATGTGAGTTGCTTGAGGGCAGGGTTTTGTTGCTGGTACTCACATGACTGCCTTGTGGCTGGGGTTAGACCAGGTATTAATTGAAGGAGAAATCAACAAAATTCGTGGGGAAGACAGGGATGACCGGACAAATTGGCCAGTTGCCTGGAGGACTGCCTGGAGGACTAAGGCAGAAGGCTAGAGAGACATTTGGTTCTAGAATGTTCCTTGCCTGGGAGAAATTTGTTGGCCTCAGGGCCCAGCTACGGACTTCATTAAAAAAATCCCAGTATTCGGGGAGGTGGTAGACCTGCCTCTAGATGACTTGGGTTAGAATCCAGGTAGAATAAGGTTCAGTTCTTTTTCTAGCTGCCCAAAGAAATGTTCTAAATGGGGCAGGGGATGTACTCAGTGTCAGACAAGACCCTGGATCTGATCACAAGCCCAAGTTTTTAAAAAAAAAAAAAAAAGAAAAAAGAAAAAAGAAAAAGTGAGTCTGGCCAGAGAGGAGAAATGTAGCCAGTTGTCATTTCTGGGAGAAACAGTACTTAACCTCTAATCAAGACCTGCCCAGTCAGAATTAGTGGGAGGAAACTCAGGAACTTGTGAGTAACCTTTCCAGGTGATTCCTCAGCACACAGAACTTGAGAAGCAATGCTTTAAGCTTGTGTGCTAACCTGCAGAGCAGTGTGGGCTCTGTCACACCCCCACTCACTGCTCAATACCTTGTGTCTTTCATCTTTTGTCATATCTTATTTGAAGTATTGTTACCTTTGGGAGCTAAGCTACTTGAACTAGTATTTAGCTACTTTTCCCTTGAAAGTAGCTGATCTAGCCCGGTGTTGGTGGCACATGCCTTTAATCCCAGCACTCGGAAAGCAGAGCCAGGCTGATCTCTGTGAGTTTGAGGCCCGCCTGGTCTCCAGAGCAAGTGGCAGGATAGGCTCCAAAGCTACCAGAGAAACCCTGTCTCGAATAACCAAAAAAAAAAAAAAAAAAAAAAAAAAAGTAGGTGATCTAAAACCCCATTCTTAGCCTGGGCATTTCTAGCCAAGTAGAATTCCCTGCCTGAGTCTGGAAATATCTTGGATAACCTGAGGCAAAGGGGACATGAGCTAGCTTTCCCAATATAACCCTGCTTTACCTTAGTAGTGTTGTGAGGTTTCTGTTTGACCTGATACTGGGTTTTCAGATGGACTTTCAGGATTCATACAACGCTGTCCATGGGAGTCACAGCCACTGTCCTTCATGCAACATCCTGTTGGATGTTTCCTCACAGGTTGACACTTGAGATTAAAAGTGGTTCTTCATGGAGTTGGAGAGTCACAAAGTAATGTGTAGTTTTTGGGTAGGTGAGAATGAAGCAGGATGGAGCCTGGGAGTTTTGCTAATGGTATCACCCTTAGGTGTATACATATGCATGGGCAGCAGCAGGTGCTGGCAGAGCAGAAAGAGAAAAACAAACTCAGGGGTCTTATGCTCTTTGCTCTGAGGCTCTTCTCATAAAGAGGTTTTGAACTTCTGGGGAGGCCACTGCCCTGGTAGAGTATGGAGTGAACAGGAGGGGAGTGGTTATGGCTTTGAGTCTCTGTGCCACACACAGTGAAGGGTGAAGGAAAGCAACATTGGTTCAGCATGGAGAAGAGTAGCCTTTGGCTGAGTGGGAAGGCCCAGTGGAGGGAAGAAAGAACACAGGAGAGAGAACCCAGCAAGGGCAACTGTTCCTCCCCGAGAAGGGAAGGGAGCTTCTGCAAATACTTTCCTTGCCATTAGTCAATTTCTCTTCCTTCCTTCCTTCCTTTTTTTTTTTTCTTTTTTTTCCTATTT